GATGCAGCACTCTTAAAATTGCCAAGCTTCTGAAGCGTGATCATCGAACAATCAAGCGTTTCATTCAAAATAGTCAACAGGGTCGCAAGAAGCGTGTGGAAAAACCAAGGCGCAAAATAACTGCCCATGAACTGAGAAAAGTCAAGAGTGCAGCTGCCAAGATGCCACTTGCCACCAGTTTTGCCATATTTCAGAGCTGCAACATCACTGGAGTGCCCAAAAGCACAAGGTGTGCAATACTCAGAGACATGGCCAAGGTAAGAAAGGCTGAAAAACGACCACCACTGAACAAGACACACAAGCTGAAACGTCAAGACTGGGCCAAGAAATATCTCAAGACTGATTTTTCTAAGGTTTTATGGACTGATGAAATGAGAGTGAGTCTTGATGGGCCAGATGGATGGGCCCGTGGCTGGATCGGTAAAGGGCAGAGAGCTACAGTCCGACTCAGACGCCAGCAAGCTGGAGGTGGGGGACTGGTATGGGCTGGTATCATCAAAGATGAGCTTGTGGGGCCTTTTCGGGTTGAGGATGGAGTCAAGCTCAACTCCCAGTCCTACTGCCAGTTTCTGGAAGACACCTTCTTCAAGCAGTGGTACAGGAAGAAGTCCGCATTCTTCAAGAAAAACATGATTTTCATGCAGGACAATGCTCCATCACATGCTTCCAAGTACTCCACAGCGTGGCTGGCAAGAAAGGGCCTAAAAGAAGAAAAACTAATGACATGGCCTCCTTGTTCACCTGATCTGAACCCCATAGAGAACCTGTGGTCCCTCATCAAATGTGAGATTTACAAGGAGGGAAAACAGTACACCTCTCTGAACAGTGTCTGGGAGGCTGTGGTTGCTGCTGCACGCAATGTTGATCGTGAACAGATCAAAACACTGACAGAATCCATGGATGGCAGGCTTTTGAGTGTCCTTGCAAAGAAAGGTGGCTATATTGGTCACTGATTTGTTTTTGAATGTCAGAAATGTATATTTGTGAATGTTGAGCTGTTACATTGGTTTCCCAGGTGAAAGTAAATCATTGAAATGGGTATATATTTGTTGCCTAATAATTATGCACAGTAATAGTCGCCTGCACACACAGATATCCTCCTAAAATAGCTAAAACTAAAAAAAGCCCCACTCCAACTCCCAAAAATATTCAGCTTTGATATTAATGAGTCTTTTGGGTTCATTAAGAACATGGTTGTTGTTCAATAATAAAATGAATCCTCAAAAATACAACTTGCCTAATAATTCTGCACTCCCTGTATTTGTCCAGGAGGTGGAAGCAGAGACTTGCCCTCAGACTTGTGTTTGCTGTCGCTGTGGTTTGGGGACTACTTTAATCTCTTTAACATGTTCTCTCCTTAGAGTCTGCACCGCCTCACCTCTCTCATCAGGATCTGGGCTCTGCTGACAAACACGTAAGGACTGCCCACGTCAAACCTCTGCTGCAGTCCCTCCAGGTTCAGTTCCTCCATTTTCTCATAGCAGCTCTGCATCTTCACAGGGTGGAAGGCCAGCATAGACAGTCTCTCCATTTGCTAATGACAAAATAGAAGACCCGGGTTTGTTTTTTTTTAAAACTCTGGACGGATTGTCATCGTTATCATGAAATTATATGGAGAACTCGTTTCACCCACTTCTCCCAGTTTTTCCTTTCCTCCGCCATTAAGTGAGTTCTTGCTCAGTTCCACGAGCTCTCTGAAGAGCACTTCCCTGACCTCAGAGAAACCTCTGCTGGTGGGCTCCATCAGAGCCTCCAGGATGGAGCTGATGTAGGGCTGGATGCTGCTTTGAAGCAGAGGTTCCACCTTGGGAAACACCATTGCTGCACGGTAGACAGAAAACAAAGTAGAGGCCAATGAGGACAATGTTGACTTATGACACATGTCTATCACTTGACAAAAGTCCCACCTGAAGACATAAGGTTGCCTATTTTGTCATTTTATAAAACCCTCTGCCTACTATACCACTGATTTTCCCTCTGCTCTGCCTGAGCACACAACTCGAGGCAGAAATACCAGCGCTGAACAACTTCTAAATGAAAGAAGAAAAATTCAAACCCCAGGAACAAGAAATCCTAGAAGGAGAATAAGACAATCAAACTAGAAGAAAAAAAAGAGTATAAGGAGAAGAAGCCCCCAACGTTAGACTACATGAACATTTTAGCTAACTGGAGCTGATGACCTTTAGTGTTTATCAAAAAAATCAAACTTTTGAATTAACAGCCGGTGGCTATGGACTCCCATTGTGTGGGATGAAAAAAAATAAATAAATAAAAGGGGAAGGGAAAAAAATAGCAGTTGAAACTGACACAGATCTGATGACCTTTAGTGTTTATCAAAAAATAAAAACTTTTAATAAAAGGGGAAGAGAAAAAAATTGCAGTTTACAAACTGACACAAACGTCACTTTATCAGATAAATATTTTGTTAAGCCCTGCACCTTAACAGTATGTGTGCCCCCTACCCTTTGGTTGTTTGACATGTTATTTACGTTGTAAATGACATGAACATTTTCCACATGTACAGTTGACTTACAGTGGACCTTGTCTGTCTCTTACAGCTTAGGAGAAGGAATGTTGTCCTGCCACTTCAGCAGACCGTACTTACAACAATATGACGGTTCCGGATGA